TCTCTTTTTTATGATTCTACTTTACTAACGCTGAAGCGATGTTAAAGCTGCAGTAAAGCATCAAGAGAAGCGTGAAGACCTGCAACTGAAAGAAGCTAAAGATACTCACTTAACGATGTTTCTGTATATTGGAATTGAACTGAGCCTGCCCAGTTAAAAGCGCTGAGCAGATCGAGATCACTGTGGTACTGGAACAGTTGAAAGATTCGCGATTCACTGACTGCACATACGGAAAGAATAAGTAACTAACCTCGTTTTCGTTGATCATCTCCTCCTTCATATTTGGCCATGTAGCGATGAGATTGAACTCGCTCAAAATGGGATTTCAGAGTAAACAAAATAGTTTTCCAATAAAATCCCCTTAGGTTCCTTTACTCTGTATTTTTACCTGTCTCTTTCCACCTACCGATATGCTTTTTAGGTTTCTGTTTCTAAATCCTACTTTTATTCTTTCATCTGGCGTACAATGTGAATGTAGTGTAGTGAATGAATAGATAATTAAATGAAGAAAGTGCTGATACTCACCTTAGCGGTTCGTTCCTGCTTCCAAATGGCAAAGCGTGACACTCGAGAATTTCGCAAGAGTCATCATTATATTGAGGAGAAGAGGTCGGGAACTTAAATACAGTAATTCAAAACTCAAAGCGGAGGGAAAAGCAACCGCAAGCTGAATTAGTACTTATTGCGCATGAGCTGTTACCGTGACAAACGCTTCTCCTAGAGTAAAGCTCTGAAGAGCTGTGAATCGGCAAGATTTCGCAAAGGTATGAAGTCCTACCAACTCACCTTCACATTATAATCGAACTGCACAGATACACGAATATCATTTGCATCCAGCAGTGAAATGGGACATTTCTAAATCACCAAAGATAGAAGTGAAAACGGAATGAAACCAATCAAACAGCTCACAACATGCTCTTTGAACAACTCCAGCAGGCCGCTCAGGTGATGATGCCGCAGCTGCGCTCGCCGAAGATGAGATCCCTGACATAATGCATGTGGTTTACCAAACAAGTAGATCATTAGAAACAGAACTCACCCCATAATGTGTAACTACTGATTTGTTGCAAGATGTACCAAAGAACAGTTGCCTATCGATATGCCCAAACTGGATGAACATGGGAACTTCGCTTAAAAAAATTCTACAAGATGTGGACGCGTATTATGTTGAGCTGAACAAAATGTGGCATGCGAAATAGGAAA